GACCTTCTTGGACATACCTAATTCATCTTTAAACTCAATTGTCCAATTCGAAATTTTATCAATCAATTCTACAACTAAATCATCTACATTATTTACAATACTATATACAGATCTATCATTTAAATGTACACCTATTCGTTGAATATAATCTTCTTCACTAAGAAGGAAGAATCCTACTCCTTTATCGAATGGTCTGATTACAATGTCTTTCCAACCTTTGACTTCTTTGAGAGCTGCTCTGATGGGCGCAGCGATGTTATCTGGTGAGACGAATTTCTGAGTTGGCCTGTGGAGGTCTACTTCTGCTCTGCAGCATTTTATAAATGCCTCAAGTGCAGGGTTTTTACAAGATTCGAAAGTACGTAATGCATCAGTCTTTATAAGACAACGTTCCATGTCAGTAACTCTCTTATCTGCTTTGTTGGGTCCACATTTAAAGCTATCAAATACAACTTTAGCTCTCATTTTAGAAAACCATCTACACAGATCGTTCTCGAAGCGGCTTAGATCTGGTAGGGGAGGTGTAGGTGCAAACTTGTGAGACAAGAAAAAGACATAGAGTTGCTCTTTACTAAGCTCTTTGTCTGTAAGATTTACAACTGTTCTGGACATGTTTTCCATTGACAAGTCTTCATCCTTGGGAAGAGTACCTTTGATTAACGTCCTCTGATGTCTGTGGGATGTGGTACGATTAATCTTTTTTCTCTTCCTTCTTCTCCTCTTCTTCACAGGTTTAGCATTATCCACATATGAAGGTGCAACATAAATAGCATAGTCCTTATCTCTCTTCAACTTAGATTCATGACGCTTGGTTAGATCAAGTTTCTCCTTATGCATTAAATTAGATAAATGATTCTCTAAATTTTCATGATCTGATGGGGGAAGTGCAGATTTGATGCAGTTTTTGAAACTATAAAAGCTTTTACGCAAAGTCTGAGACCTGATTACTTGATTATCTATGACTAAGTCTAGCATTCTTGATTTCTGTAACTGATTAAGCGCTTTACAGGATTCTACATAAAAAGTGTCTTTAACTGCACACCTAAAATTGATTTGAGTAGCAATACCTCTAGGGATATTACCGTGGTGTCTCGTAGTCTGTAAGTATCTCAATTGACAAGATGCCCTAACTGATCTAACTGCTAAGTTGTCCAATTTAGGCATCGGGGGACTCATAATGATAAATGTTACTGAAAACAAACTAAAATCTCATAAAAAGATGTCGGATGACAAACGGAGCGAGGATATATATATATATATATATTTGTATATATATATATTTTATATATATGGACACGTTCATTGAAGTTTGAGGATATTGGTAAATATTAGTGACCCTACTGAATGGCACGATGATGTAAAATGTGTCACACTATGAAACTATATAAACCCTCTAACCCTAAGATAATCGTTTCATCCTCTAGATAAACTTTGTCGCATAACGATATCTTTATCAGACGATAAGATATCGCTCAAATGCGGCCGGCAGTGAGTTGTAAACTTTGTCACATTATAAAAACGTGACGGAGTTTATATGGACCCCTTGTTGCCGTGTTTGACCAAATTTTCGAATTTCCAATTCATAGAATAGCTGTATATGACTATTATCTACATATTTAGCGACTTTTTTCCTTAAATGGTAGCACCATGTAAACTCCGTCACACATTTAAAAAATTTATATGAGGGATGTTTATGACATCCTGACAAGAAATGCCGAATAGTCTAGCATTATTTTGTGAGCTGAATGTGTTTGGAATTGTTCACATATTTCATTGTTATAGGCAAATACAAATACAGAAGGCAGAAATAGGTAAATTTAGTCACATAAATTTGTATGATATCTCAACATGTGTGAAATTGAGTAAATATTAGTATACCAACTTAAACACCCTATATTACGTACTATGAATCAATTAACAATATTTCAACCATACGCCGGTCATATAAATTATTATATGGCAGTGATATGTTAACATTGGATAAATTTCAACACCTGAACAGGGTAAAAATTTGTAAATTTCGTCACAAAAAAAATATTATAACTTTATTTGCTCCGTGTTGGCAAAATAACTAATTTATCGACATAGTGATGGTGATAAAGTAACATTATATACTAATTGAGGTATGATTCTTCAAAATAGGGGCAAGAAATGTAAATTTCGTCACATCAGCCATTGCATTAGTTAGATAGATTTTCTTTCATATCAACTGCCCTTATTATAGTTGGAATGGATTTATACAGGAAATATAGAAACCCATGCCCATTTTTCATCACATTGAAATTATACTGTTGGGGCAGGAAAAGTAAATTTCGTCACATTTCGGTAAATTAGTGATATTAAACTCAGCATTGTTAAACTCGAGTTCTGATTTGCTGAAAAATAACCTACCAATAATTCCTGGAAGAATATTGAATTCTAATCGGGGTATGGTTCTTCAAAATAGGGCCAAGAAATGTAAATTTCGTCACATACGTCATTGTAAAATTTAGATACATTTTATTTCACATCAACAGTCCTAATTATAGTTTGAAATGATTAATTCAGAGATGAAGGAAATATAGAAACCCATGCCCATTTTTCATCACATTGAAATTATACGTTTGGGGCAGAAAAAGTGAATTTCGTCACATTTCGGTAACTTAGTATAATTAAACTCAGAATTGTCAAACTTGAGTTCTGATGATCTGCTGAATAATAACCTACTAATAATTCATGGAAGAATATTGAATTCTAATCGGGGTATGGTTCTTCAAAATAGGGTCAAGAAATGTAAATTTTGTCACATACGTCATTGTAAAATTTAGATACACTTTCTTTCACATCAACAGTCCTAATTATAGTTTGAAATGATTAATTCAGAGATAAGGAAATATTGAACCCATGCCCATTTTTCATCACATTGAAATTATACTGTTGGGGCAGGAAAAGTGAATTTCGTCACATCTCGGTAACTTAGTAAAATTAAACTCAGAATTGTTAAACTTGAGTTCTGATTTGCTGAATAATAACCTACTAATAATTCCTGGAAGAATATTGAATCCTAATCGAGGCATGTTTCTTCAAAATAGGGTCAAGAAATGTAAATTTCGTCACATCAGCCATTGCATTAGTTAGATAGATTTTCTTTCATATCAACTGCCCTTATTATTATTGTGACAATTTGTACATCAACTGCCCTTAACTTGAATCAGCTCTATCCGTGCATCGTCCTTATATACAGTTTTCCCGCCTTCCAAATCAAAATCAGATATAAATGATTTCGGCAATTCACCCAAAATTTTAAATTCCATATAATGTTACAGAATTTACATCATTTCCCAATAAGTGCATGTATTTGCTAACTTTTCAAAACAACATATTTTAGGGCTATGATTGGTAGAAGAACCATCAAATAATGAGTTGAAAGGGTTTTGAGGACACCTCACAGTAGAAAAGAGGTATCGTATTCTGAGTGTGACAAAGTTTACGAAATATTGCCTTAAAACCGTTCGATCCCTGCCCTTTAGCCAAATGTTGTATCATAATTGTAAATTGTTAGAATGACCTAATCTACTATATTTTAAACCAAAAAATGCTAATTGGGCAGCTATGGTTAACACAGTCACAAAAATGTGACATTTTTTACATTATAGTGCCTAAAAACAATAAATTGTATTTCTGAGCCGTGTATATGGAAGTATGGGTCACGTGGCTAATGTCCAGAACTTCTGAACACGCTATATTTTTTGGTTTACCAATATCCTTAAACTTCAACATGAACGTGTCCATTTACGATTTCGTATCATTTTGTGACGATGTTTACATCAACTGCCCTAAACTTCAATCAACTGTATCCGTGTATCGTCCTCATATAGAGTTTTCCCGCCTTCCAAACCAAAATCAGATATAAATGATTTCGGAAATTCACCCAGAATTTCAAATTCCATATAATGTGACAGAATTTACATCATTTCCCAATAGCCAAGTGCATGTTTTTGTTAACTTTTCAAAACAACATATTTTATGGCTATGATTGGCAGAAGAACTATCAAATAATGAGTTGAAAGGGTTTTGAGGACACCTCACAGTAGATAAGAGGTCTCGTATTCTGAGTGTGACAAAGTTTACGAAATGTTGCCTTAAAGCCGTTCGATCACTGCCCTTTAGGCCTACATTGTATCATAATTGTTAGATTGACCTAATCTACTATATTTTAGACCAAAAAATGCTAATTGGGCAGCTATGGTAAACAATGTCACAAAAATGTGACATTTTTTACATAATAGTGCCTAATAGCAATACATTTTATTTTTGAGCAGTGCATATGGGAGTATGGGTCACGTGGCTAATGTTCAGAACTTATGAACACGCTAGATTAATATATGTTAAAATTAAACCACTATCGTCAAAAACGCTGTTTTAGAAATTTACCAATTTCCTCAAACTTCAATGAACGTGTCAATATATAATTGTTGACTGAACAGGCAATCCGAGCCATCCAAACGATTTCAATCGCAAATGAATGTGATTATACTGATAGCCTCATTAATAGAAATGTCACCATGAATTTAGAAAGTTACTCCTAGCATCGCAGTAGTGGTACTAGGTTGATTGATCTGCCAGTAAGTGTCAAATAAGGAAGTTACTACAACTACAAGTGATGGGAACAAAATAAAGAACTGACATTTAATTATTATTATTTCATCACGGTTTCGCAACCTCTGAATTCATCCAAAAGGCAAATAAAATTCGAAAATTTGTTTAACGACCACGTCAATATCTCCCAGTACTTCAATAGCCCATGGCAATAATAACTGATGACATTTTTATTGAGAAACTGCTTGTCCAGTAAAACGACGTCTATAAAATTGTTTAAGGAAGTAGCAGCGCGGTTGCCAATCGACCTACCTTTATGCTTCACTGCTTTACTAAAGCACGTAAAATTATCTACAGTAAACCCTCAATATACCGAGCGTTAGATTTACCGGAAAATTAACATTTGAACTAAATAAACTTACCCATTCCATCTCCATTCCAGCAAGGAGTAGTGTTGTTAGATCCTGCGCAAGGTAACGTGGCTGGATCAACTATAGCACTTTCTAAATCCAGCGTCTTGGAAAAGTAGTTCTCGAAATGAGACAAGTCAGGTCCGCTTCCTCCTTGTCTCTTTCTCCTCCTCTTTTTACCGAAGTCTCTGTCTGTACAGCTTCTTGTGAAATCCACCGATTTCAAATACTTGTCAATTTTCCCCATGAAAGAGAAGAGGCTGCCGTTTTGCATTTCCAGATGGTAGTTTAGGGTGAAGTAGATCTCATCCATCTTCTTAATGAGCTGTGAGTACAGGTCCTTGTAGAGCAAGATGGAGGCGTAGCAGCCACGGACTACGTTGAGGCACAGGTCTCTGCAAACCTGAGATAAAACACCATATTATATCTCCAGGTCATATACTGTCATCTTAGTCTTACTGGTATGGTGGGTACTGGTAATGAAGAAACGATATTGACTTATATAATGTATCCTGGTCAGTCCAAGTAAATCTAATAGTGATATAACCGATGGGTATGCAATGAATTATAGAAGTTGTCACTATTTGTACGTTCAATAAATTATTTGAACATGTTGAATCTTGATAAATCTTACCTTAGCTTGAGCAGTGCTGTCAAGGCAGAGAGGACAGCCAGCAGGTCGGTAGGTCAGATCTAGCGGTATCCCAGCTTTACTCACGTTGTTAGAACACTTCTTCGACGGACGTAGTGATGCTGTAGCCTGAAGTGCATTTCTCACTTCAGTTTATCATCTTCATCATGTGAATACTGATGACGTCATCATGCGAATACTGATGACGTCATCATGTGAAAACTGATGACGTCATCATGTGAATACTGATAACTGAATCACATTGATGATCATGTGAAGATATGTTATATGATCATAAGTCGCAATGTTACTTTACTATTATATTTATCAGTGATGAGTGGTCAGTGGGCAGCTCATTCATCATCCCGTGTCAATATTAGAGTAAAAACAAGCACTTAGCGCGAATCAAGTGCTCTCTTTGTTAGTATAACCGATATTAAAAGCTAGGCCAGTTTATTACAGTTATTTTGATTTGTATTAATCAGAGCTTCTCCGCTGATTTGACAAGTTTTTGGCAATTAATCGAAAGTTTCATACCATGACCCTCAACCAGTGTCATCGTGTTTAGCTGAGTCACACTAATCTCACGATGCAATGTTTTATTTCGTGAAACGATTGCTGATGGATGCCGAGGTTTTAGGGATATTTGGCAACTATCAAATAGCTAAGTGGAAACTGAGATCAACTTCGTTGGTTTAATAACCGGTAACCGATCATTTAAACCAGAACCAGAAACAACAAGTTGACAAACTGTCTTTGCCGGAGATAACCGTCTTACATAAACATTAAACAATTTGTACTAGCTCAAACTGTTAACATAAAACGTGAGCTCTTTTATAATATCTGTCCATCTAAATGTTAAATGAAAGCGAATCATGCTCTATAATCACAACTTCGCAAGAGGATGTTTTAATAACTCTGTCAAAATGTTTTAATAACCCTGTCAAAATGTTACAACTTCTACTTACTTACTGTGACTATTAAACTTATAAATGGAGACTCATTTTCACTTTGTCATCAAATGCTTCGAATCAAAATTCTTTTAGAGAACTTTAGAATTCAGGGACATTTAAGACAGAAGACTAGATGATAGGGGGGGGGGGGGGGGGGATAACGTATTTTTTTTGTTTTTTTTTTGTTTTTTTTTGTTCTTTTAAAAAAATTTACTTTTACCATAACAAAACTTATACCGTAACAAAAAAAAAAAAAAAACAAAAAATTCATTTTGAGCTATTTCGATTTTGAGCTATATTTTTATCATTTTATTGGTTTTTTCCTTTTTTCCCCCTTTTTTTTCCTTTTTTGTTTTTTTTTTGTTGTTTTAATTACTTTTACCTTAACAAAAAAAAAACAAACAACAAACACGTTATCCCCCCATGATACCATTTATTAATTTTTGTTCATCGGCATTATAGTGCCAACACCACCCCACTGTGAGACAACCCCACCCCTCTGTGAGACACAACGCCCACCCCACTGTGAGACACAACCCCCACCCCACTGTGAGACACAACCCCCACCCCACTGTGAGACACAACCCCCACCCCACTGTGAGACACAACCACCACCCCACTGTGGGACACTGCACAACCCCACCTCAGATCTGAAGTTATGGCTATGCACCAGGAGACTGATGATGTAACGAGATTGTATCGCTTACGACTAGCAGTAGCATTGTGTTATATATCCCGTTTATAAGAGTTCCAATCCGTGACGTCACGGATTGAAACTCTTATAATCCGTGACTGTACTTAGTAAATTCTTGCACTCTTTATATTACTATTTTAGTCATGTTAGGTTAATGTGATGAGCTTATGAGTATTGAGTTCGCTTAATGAAATTGCTACCTGCGCTCACACCGTCAATCCTATGTAACCACTCAGAAAGTCAAACTGGATCATTTCGATTTACAATCTATTGTAATAGTGAATTTGCTAATTAATCATTAATAAATCAGCCAAAGGTTCGATTTGCCCACAGCTTTGCTATGAAATATATTTTCCGGTCGCAGAGTTAAAGTATATCTTTCCGACACTATTTTTTGTACCCATCAGTTAACAATCATACGGAGTTACAGCGAATGTCACTCTCATTTCCCGTTCTAATCTCTCTGTAAGTATCTGTTGGTGAGTGTTCCTCTGTTAAAGTAAGAACTTACCAGTAAAGTCACGTTGATCGCCTGAACTCCCTTCTGATAGGCGTAAATGTTGTTCACTAGTTTTATAATGTCGGGCATAGCGTCTTCCTTTAGCTTAACGACCTCCTGAAGAAAGAAAATCTGATTGAAAAATAAACGGTTGTTATAGGACTCCTTCCGTTAAATGGGAGGTTATATTGTAAATTGCTCCGGTAGGTCTTCCGATTGAACATTGTACTCATGCAATTCATGGACGGTATGAATGTTTTACCTTTAGGGAGCGTAACAGTCGAAAGGTTTTATTACTTAACACACTTCTAGTTAAGTTATCCTTAACTTTTATATTTTCTTTGCGTCTAGTCTTTTCGGTTCAACATGACGTCTTGAAGTGACTTCAACCAACTTCGATAACTTTTATTAGCCGGACAGGAACTGGATCGGTTATCAATTTTTGAATCGGAACTGGGACCGGTTCTTTTCATAATTTGTTTTATTCTTAGAACCGGATTTCACTCTAACCATAGGTGTGGGCATGTTGATCCTATTTCATAGTATTTGTACACAGCGGTACCAGGTACCTCAAATCTAATTATAGAACGAAAAGCGGCCGATGACGCGAAAAAGTGTTGTATCAGGTCAATGACAATAGTGTGATTCTGCACCCACCGCACTTATATGTTGCCTTTGATTCTCAAGGAAACAAATTTCATAACTACATGACGTAGATCTTTAATAATAACGTTTAAAAGAAAAGTACATTAGAGGGTAGGGCGTGTTTTCATTATTTGTGAACTTTTGACTTTTGACGACACGCAAGTAACAAAATTGGGCAATTCCTAATAACCTTATGTAATGTCTATGACAAGTACCAGGAGGTTTATTGATTTGAATTCCGTTTATATGAAACCATCTTTGGCCGTTTGATACCATTTTTGCTCATTTGATACTTTTTGACTGCTTGATACTTAATAACTTAACTGGCGATACTCGTAAAATATTTGTTCCAAATCCAAGACACAAGACCGTCGACGAGTCCAACTACAACATACAACTAGGCGCGCGTCTTGGTAGATTATAAATATAAACCTACAATTTGTAAAATTTTGTTATAGATATCCAGTATTTTGTTTATATAAAACCGGACTAGATTTTAATCTTATATTATTCGGACAGATCCGGATTCAGCCGGATATCCAATTGGTTATTGAATTGAACCGTCCATATAACAGTTTCCGTTTATTTAATTGTTCTGACTCGTTGAATCTGATTATCGATAACATACAAACATTGCTGGCAGCTGATTCAGAGTTCAGACTTCAGGCGATAATTACATGAGTTAGAAACATTTAAATAAACTAACCTTACGTCTGATACAGGTTGGTTTAATAGCCACTATCTCGAAGAGAGCCAGCTCGAAGAAGTGCTCGTAGGATATGGGTAACCCGTCCTCCACCTGCTTTATCAGTCCTCTAAACACTGCCCAGTTTACTTGCTCCGCGAACGCGCCCACACTGTGGGGTTGAAAATTAGATTGAAAATTAGAAATCATTCAGAAATTATTACAAAATAGCCTTTAATAGCGTCGAGTTATTCGCCCCGTTTTGTCCGTTAAACATTTAAAACTAACTTGAATCTCTCTATCCGTCTGTGGAGGGTGTAGAGTGCGAACTTAGTGAAGTCGTCAGTTACCCTCTTTTCAAAGAAGTACTCTGAGACGGTGTTGCAACAGGTAAGACCTTTGTTACAGGTGAAAAGGTTCTGGATCTCCTCCGGACTTGTGTGTCTCTGAAAGAAAGGGGTTCGTGAGGACTGAGGAGGATGAGGGGTGGGGGGGGGGGGGTAAACTTGATCTAACTTAAGTTTAAGTCACTTGTTACTGGTACGAGTGCAGAGTAACTCAAAACTAATACTTCTAATAGTCTGCTAGTGTCACTTCCACAAGTGACAGCTCGTAACTATAGTAACTGTAACTATAGTTACTATAGTCAGTGTTAACTGCCATGGCTAATGGTTCCAACCTGTCAAATTTATCTCTCATAAAATACAGGACACAGGTCCTCAGCAGCAAGATGAGATCGCCCAACATCTCACTGTTTCCTTTGTCTGGTCAACATAATAAGCAAATATTGGAATGATTGTTGCAAGCCATTTCATGGTGTTCAATACTCAATAGTTTCATTCTTACTGCTGCTTTTGATTTTGAGCACTAGTTTCTATCTAAATATTATTTAAATGATCTGTAAACCAACCTGGAAGCGTTCAGTAAGTACAGTTCCAATCTCAGAGCATGAGTCTTGCGGAGGAGTAAAGGAAGTAACCATGCAGACAAATAATCCACATTGAGCCATCACACGGTACAGTGCCCATCTCAGTTCCATCCTCTCCTGCACAGACGAATCATTCAACTTGGTTATTGTTTTTAATTAAACTGTTGTTTTTAATTAACTTTTTGTTTTTAATTAAATTAAGAAATAACACATACCCCTGACCAGTTGAAAAGAAATTATCAAATCAAATATTGGAAGCTATTTTGGCTGCATTTTCTGCACATTGTAATTGTAAACCGTTGTTATATATAATATATATATATATTAAGCATTTATCCGTCATGACATATCAATAGCTATTTGAAATTTTCACTAAATTTATTTTAAAAATGAAACGTTCAATTTTGGAGACCTAATTTTAGGACGGTTAAATTTTGGGAGGTGATCGTAAGGCGTAAGTTTTCTGTATGCTATAAGGAATGGTAAAGAGTTGTTCACTTCGGCCCACTTGTCTCATTTACCAAGAATACTAATAAATAACAAAACCTCGCGATGACAAAGCAGGTTACAATTTCAACTTCAAGAACGCTATAACAATAAGCTTAGAGTTCAAAGACTTACAGCCTCAACAAAGCTTTGTACTATAAGACGAGTGACAAATGTTATTGCAGCCGTCATCAAAAACAATATTATAGTTATACTGTTATGATTGCTGCGGTGATTAAATACTAGCATTTAGGAGCACTGAGCAGCTGATAGTTTTTTAGGGGCCGCCGTTAAGAATGTAAAGAATGTTCAAAGGGTCTTTTGTCCCGGGTCGACTAAAGGACTAATTGTGAAAAACAATTATAAAATGTTTACTGTGGTTAGTTTTGTGACCCGCGAGTCTTTATCCATCTCAAATTATTTTTTACACGACTAGTGGCTAGTAATCAACCTACTGGTCTCTTAAACACAATAATGTTACAGGTTTTGATGATTGAAACTGTGGATCTTTCCGTTAGATAATTACAGCATAAATATTATTTATCCAAAAACAGAATCACTCGGTTCGTCTGTAAACTACTCAAACAATAATTCTACTATGAAATCAAAATGTACAAATTGTGCTTGTTTTTGGGTTTCAACCATACAGTTCATATTGGATCCGTGCAGTTCATATTCATTGCAAGATTGTACAAAAAGCCCCCTCGTGAGTTCCTCAGAGGGATTGCTTCATTGTGGAGAGCCTGTTACTTTTTAATATCGCAATATTTCGTGTGGTCGCAAGGTCCTATATTACTGTTCCCTAATATTTAATGGAATATCGATATATGTGGTGGACTATAATGTTATGATATTCCTGGGAAAGTTCTTTCGTTTTGGGGCAGAATTAATAGCACTATCAATCCAAACCAATCTCACATATCATTTCATTCGTAATTGAAATTGCAATAAAGTTACTGGGCGGCGCTCAGCCTGTTATTCCGCCGAATCTCTATCAGGCTCTATGTTTATGAACATTATAGCCTGGGGTCCCCAGGTAACAATAAAGTGGTTGATATTGATCTGTCTATAAATAATGGGGCTAAGCTGGATCATCTTACGTTTTAAGGAGAGAGTCATTACTAAGCTATGCTATATTAATATAGCTTTAAAAGCCCTCATCCTTTTAACCTTCATCTATTATAGTATTATGCTTATTGTTACAGCACGGTTTAAAAAGGGTTTAGAATACTTTTCGAATGGAACACAGCGTGTTGCTCAAAATAGTTGATATCTATGGTTTTAAGATTTTAAGATTCAAGCATTTTAAAGCTCACAATTTGTCGTGACTTGAAATCTAATAAATCTTCGGGTGCCATAAATTAATAACAGGGATCTCTATAAACAGCAATATTGGATTCGTTGCAAATAATTTAATGTTACCGGCCAGAGCTGGCCTCTCTCTCCACAAAATCACCTGTTACGTAATACAGTAATACTCGGATTCACCGCGGAGTTTTGGGGAAGGAAACATCCGCGGTAAATCAGGGTTTTGTTTACATGTTAAGCCCTATTTGGGGAAGGAAATCCTAGTTTTACTACAGTAAGTAACAAAGAAACCGAGGTTTAACATGTGACCGGGACCGTGATTGTTTTCGACATAAGGTCTCGTATTTTGAAATTCTGTTGCTAAATATAGCGAAAAACCACAGATTAGTTACTTTTCCTAGCGATGGTTTGTTTCTAAGTTGTGAGACTGCCACAGATTGGTTACTTTTCTAGCGATGGTTTTTTTCTAAGTTGTGAGACTGCCACAGATTGTTTACTTTTCTAGCGATGGTTTGTTTCTAAGTTGTGAGACTGCCACAGATTGGTTACTTTTCTAGCGATGGTTTGTTTCTAAGTTGTGAGACTGCCACAGATTGGTTGCATTGTGTCCTCTGTAAGGTCTTTTATATAACGCCATAAGTTCATTATATTTCGCAGGTTTACTGTTAAGTGCAACTATAATATGTAGTTTCATTTCCTAAATTGCTTTGATTTGTATATTGTATTAATTCACTGCGAGAATTTTGCCATGTAATGGTTGGATGCTATAAGAGTGGTCTGATTTAAAGTGGTCTGATTTAAAGTTTCATTATTTTGTTGAGTCTTTAGCTTACCGTTACAAACTATTTAGCTCCTTTTAACCTGTGTTACCCCATGGTTACTGGTTACCATGGTTACCCTGGTTACTATGGTTACCATGGTTACCCTGATTACCCTGGTTACTATGGTTACTATGTTATCCTAGTTACCCTGGTTACACTGGTTACACTGGTTACTATGGTTACTATGGTTACCCTGGTTACCCTGATTACCCTGGTTACTATGGTTACTATGGTTACTATGGTTATCCTAGTTACCCTGTTTACCCTGGTTACACTGGTTACCCTGGTTACGATGGTTACTATGGTTACCCTGGTTACACTGGTTACTATGGTTACTATGGTTACCCTGGTTACACTGGTTACCCTGGTTACTATGGTTACCCTGGTTACAATGGTTACCCTGGTTACGATGGTTACTATGGTTACCCTGGTTACACTGGTTACCCTGGTGACCCTGGTTACCCTGGTGACTCTGGTTACCCTTCTTATAATAATCATGTGCCTAAACTCTTAATGAGGCTGTTCCTTAGGCTTAACATTGAAAACAGGATAATAGTTACATAACAGTTGATAATAGTTACATTGATAATAGTTACACTGTTCATTCTATATATATAATTACTAACATAATTATAATTCTTTTTTTTGTTGTAATATTTTGTTTATAAATAACGGAATATTATGTCTGCAGATCATTTGGCAACGTGCCATTTTTAATCGAATCTATCGTTTTTGTAATGGCCATTTCTTGGGAAAGTATCTCAGGCATTTGCAGTAATCAGGTATGGAAATGGAGAATGATTGTTACATTACATTACCCTGTTTTACACTAGTTACCTTGTGTTACCCTGTGTTACCCTGGTTACCTTGTGTTATCTTGTATTACCTTGTGTTACCCTGGTTACCTTGTGTTACCTTGTGTTATACTGTGTTACCCTGGTTACCCAGGTTACCCTGATTACCATGGTTCCCCTGGTCATGGTTACCCTGGTTATTATGTCTTAATATAATTTAATCATTTAACTAACTAGTTGAGTTTTCTTATCAAGGAATATCTAACGTTTGCAGGAACAAACCTTAACGCACAATTAGCATACAATAAGCACATACGCCTTACGAAAATATAATACAAATTTACTAGTTGAGGTTATAGTTTCTAATTTTACTTTTCAACTCAAAACTTCAGAGCAAGATCTGTGGTTAACTGGTAGAAGCGCACGTTTACAAAATTAACATTAATGCCGGAGAAACTGTTCTGAAGCAACAAAATGAGAAATTAATTGCGACTACAACTAACATTACAATTTGCATGAAAGCTTAATATAGAAATATTTGGAGTTATCAAGATTAAAGGTTTAAGAAACTTAGTGTATTCAATAAAACAGCATACTTCACCGTGATTCGGTGTTTCTTTGACAAAACTGGACAGTTATTTAATTTCGACGAAATTTTAAAATGACAGAGCGTATTAAATATTTTGTCGCAATAACAAGAATAATGAATATGTTAAATTGATGAATAGATCCATAAAAATAGAAATTGTCCTCGGATAATACGCTATTTTGAATACCTCCACCGTCAAGATGTAGGTTTGATTGGATTGATGAGAGCCAGGTGGCATTTAGAAGTGGTGGTAGAAACTGTGAAGTTAAAAACATCAAGCAAACGATAATTCGAGCAAACTGGTCACAATCACGTTCACACATGGTAGTTAAGAACGAAATAACTGGATTAAATAGTGAAACTAAATAGGCGTGCAGAATTAATCAGAAAATGTAAAATTGTATTTAAATAGGGTGGCAATCAGTACGCCCTTCAGTATGGTTAATCTGGTGGTTTTCTTACATGCTACATATTATGATATGGGTGCAACAGCTGACCACTATTTTCTAATAAGGTTCTGCATCGGTTCAAATTGTTGGATTTTAACTGAGGAATAAACTCGAAATTCAATATTTATGATACATCTTCAAGTTTGTCAATTGTCACCCTTGCCCTTTTGATCTTAAAATCCCAAAATAATTGTGCAATCAATTAACCAAAGTCATGTAATGTATAAAACTAGAAGAAACCTGACAAACCCACAAAATAACATGTAACAGTTAAGAACAGTAATAACTAGCGGGCACGGAAGTAAAGCTAAATATAATCATTAACTATGCTAGCTAATGGTTAATGGCCACAGATGCTAATATTAAAGATATAACCAAGAGAAGACTGCAGACAGCCAGGCTTGTTGTCCTCCGCAAAGTTATTCCTACACAGCTGCAATGATACTGCTGGGTGGGTGACAATGACAAACCTCGGGTAGTCACGTGGTCACGTGGTTATTGTGCCCGTCATTTCGACTCCACTTCCATGTTTCAATAGCAGACAGGTACTTCCATTGATTATCTCACAATTGCATCATTAGAAGGCCAAGTAGAGAAGTTGTAAAGAAGTTACATGCTGGTCCGCCAATCAGAGCTGTGCTACCTCTTAAATCCGGGCTGTTTCCTAGCT